AGAACAACAAATGTTTTGTTCATTAAGGTTGAACATTCCTGATGATTCTGATAGAGAGTGAAGTGAAATGGATGCTGATAAAATGGCGGCCATGTCACTGAAGGGTCACCGAGGGGTCAACATATTTATGTAGTCTAAGAAATTGTCCTTGGAGATTCTGTGGGGGTTGGCTGAGAATGTCTGGTCTGGATGAATCTTCACACCCTCTTCAAATTTCCAGATATAGCTTGATTTCTTGCAGTCACTGAAAAAAAAACAAAATATCCACTATTACCATGCATCTCAGTTTGATTTAAATTACCAATAAGATCTAGCCCAAGGATTTTAATCATTTAATACAGTAAAACTTGTTTAGTACGAACACGGATAATGCGAATTCACAGATATAGCGAAGTTATCTCGGATCCCCATCTACACAAATTTAACGAATTCCTTATATGGATATAACAAATATCGGATATACCAAAGTTATTTCCCAGGTCCAGTGACTTCGTTATATGCAAGTTTTACTGTATTAAAATGTTTAGAATTTGTTAATTACATAAATAATATGTAACAGACCTGCAGTGGGCCACACTTGACGGGGGACAGTGGAATGTGGACTCCTTCGTGTGTATGTTGTAAAAGTACTTCTGATTGGCTGATTTGCTGAGAGCCATTGTCCAGGGATCTGTAAAAAATGAAGCAAACACGATCAGCAATATTCAAATAGATTCATATTTCTTAATTTGTTTTTCACTTCTTATTGAAATGGGAATAATACTGTACACAGGGAAATTTCGCCCCCATTTTATTTTTGCCCCTTTGGCCCTCTTCATAGTTGGGAGAATTTAAAACGGGACAAATTCAAAGAACATAAAATAATTTCCTAAACAGAATTATGACTTGTTGAATTCAAACCATAATAAAATTTTTCGCAAGTGCAAAGGGGCAAAAATAATATGGGGTTAAAAAAATAACCCTGCATACAATACTTGTGTTAAAAAACACTTAAAATGTATAAATGAATAATGTGAACACAAGAAATAAAGTCAAATCAAATGATACAAATTGAAAGCAGAGCAAACATCGACCTCTGTAAGCATTAGATGTTGGGATCAGGTGCCATAGAGGACTAATTTATATGATTGTTGCAATATAACGCTGGTACCTCTGACGATTTTTACGATACAGAGTCCAGACGGCAGGAAGCACCTTCCGTCAGCTCTGTCTGGGGGACTATAACACAACCGGGGATTAGCGGAGCCTTTAACACGACGAAACTCCAACCTGCGAAGAAAAGGCATTCCAAAAAAAAAAACTGAGGAATTGTTAATAAACCAAAACAGATTTAAACTAAAATACATTTTCATTCCTATATTAACCTGAATTATATTTTCATTAATAGAGTATTTATTCAATATTCTCTTGAAAAATATAAAAGAAGACCACAAAAGAAATGATATATAATTGCCATGTGAAGTAAGTGATCATTATGTTTAGTAGTAGGTCAATAAACTTGATCCCCTCACCTGTCAAACACCTGGTGGACCTCCTCCAGCCTATAGATGTACGGGACGATAATCTGGGTCAGATTGGGTCGGGTCGGCTTGGTGATGCACTGTACAAACTTTCTCAGCTTGTCGATTCTACAAAAATTCTAGGTCATGCATCAAAAAAAGAAACTCAATTACATGCACATGTGAATTACAATTAAGGCCCTGCTTACCCTAAATCAATTAAAAACAATTTTTCCAACACATTGCATCAGAATCGGAAGCTTTGCTTTTAACTTTAAGTGCCAGATTTGTTTAAAAGAGGTTGATGATACGTTACCTGTCTCTGAAAGTCAGACTGCGGACATCTTTACCGTACAGAAACATGGCATCCAGGGCATGTAGAGTCATCATTCTTCTCTGTCCTGAACCCTGTACAAAAACATAATAGTTATCAATAAATGTCCAATCAAAATTCTCCATTCAAAACACTTACCTGATATTTTGAATTTTGACAGTTTGCCTAACCTCCCCTGTCATCTCGTTTACATTGAGTATCTGTCAGGAGTTCTGTAGGACTTACCTCCCCTTACATCTCCTGTACTATCTGTTGAGAGTTGTAGGACTTACCTCCCCTTTCATCTCCTGTACTATCTGTTGAGAGTTGTATGACTTACCTCCCCTTTCATCTCCTGTACTATCTGTTGAGAGTTGTATGACTTACCTCCCCTTTCATCTCCTGTACTATCTGTTGAGAGTTGTATGACTTACCTCCCCTTTCATCCCCTGTACTATCTGTTGAGAGTTGTGGGACTTACCTCCCCTTTCATCTCCTGTACTATCTGTTGAGAGTTGTATGACTTACTTCCCCTTTCATCCCCTGCACTATCTGTTGAGAGTTGTGGGACTTACCTCCCCTTTCATCTCCTGTACTATCTGTCGGGAGTTCTGTATGACTTACCTCCCCTTTCATCCCCTGTACTATCTGTTGAGAGTTGTGGGACTTACCTCCCCTTTCATCTCCTGTACTATCTGTTGAGAGTTGTATGACTTACTTCCCCTTTCATCTCCTGTACTATCTGTTGAGAGTTGTAGGACTTACCTCCCCTTTCATCTCCTGTACTATCTGTTGAGAGTTGTGGGACTTACCTCCCCTTTCATCTCCTGTACTATCTGTTGAGAGTTGTTTGACTTACCTCCCCTTTCATCTCCTGTACTATCTGTTGAGAGTTGTAGGACTTACCTCCCCTTTCATCTCCTGTCCAATCTGTTGGGAGTTGTTTGACTTACCTCCCCTTACATCTCCTGTACTATCTCCACTTCTATCAGTGTATCTGTCGGGAGTTCTGTATGACTTACCTCCCCTTTCATCTCCTGTACTATCTCCACTTCTATCAGTGTGTCTGTGGGGAGTTCTGTATGACTTACCTCCCCATCATCTCCTGTACTATCTCCACTTCTATCAGTGTATCTGTCAGGAGTTCTGTATGACTTACCTCCCCTTTCATCTCCTGTACTATCTCCACTTCTATCAGTGTATCTGTCGGGAGTTCTACTCGGATATTATCCTCCTCTAACTTCCTCCATCTGGAGTGTGGATTTCCATCCCATTTGAACACATGTGACCTCTGTGTATAATAAAATACAAAGTAATCAGTTTGATTTGATTTATCATAAAGATCTGTTTGAAATTGAGGGGAAAATGCACACACATGATATTAAGTTATTTGTAACAGCACATACCCCTAGACCTAGAAGATACCATCTTTTTCGTTCTTGGTTTCCGACGACATAACAGCGATAATTGTATGGAGTTTTGATATTTGTGAGTGTGTCCGGACAAAGATCTTCAATTGTGTGTGAGATGAAATCCACATCATCACCCTGGAACAAAGGAAACCAATCATTGCGCTGGCCAAATATACAGGAGAGAAATTAATAGTAGTTAGATATTGATAGGGGATTAGGAATGATTAACCTCAGTGAGAGCCTCAAACTTGACTTTGGGATTTGATTTTGTGGGATATTTACCTCAGTGAGAGCCTCAAACTTGACTTTGGGATTTGATTTTGTGGGATATTTACCTCAGTGAGAGCCTCAAACTTGACTTTGGGATTTGATTTTGTGGGATATTTACCTCAGTGAGAGCCTCAAACTTGACTTTGGGATTTGATTTCGTGGGAGCTTTACCTCGGTGAGAGCCTCAAACTTGACTTTGGGATTTGATTTTGTGGGATATTTACCTCAGTGAGAGCCTCAAACTTGACTTTGGGATTTGAATTTGTGGGAGCTTTACCTCAGTGAGAGCCTCAAACTTGACTTTGGGATTTGATTTTGTGGGAGCTTTACCTCAGTGAGAGCCTCAAACTTGACTTTGGGATTTGATTTTGTGGGAGCTTTCCTCACTTCATCTGGGAGCTGAAAAAGAAGAACATAATGAGAGGGCAAGCACTAACTTCCTTAGCTTAAGTCACTAGTAAAAGTTTTGTCCTTACATTCCACCTCTTTAAACAATCACTTCTCACGTCTGCCTGTCTGGTTTCGTAAAGCTGTCTGTAAAGACAAGTCACATTTAATACATGTATCTCATATCCCTGTAAATGTTTGTCAAGGTCTATTTTCTTAAGAAGCATTTAGGTAAGATTATGGTACTTACGAGTTTTGAACAAAGGCTTGAATTTTCTTTAAACCTGAAATCTGCATCTTACCAATCCTGAAAGAAAAACAACAGAATTCATCAACAAGAGGCCCATGGGCCACATCGCTCACCTGAGAAGCTTTGACCATTCTGTTCTTTACCAGATTTCACCCTTGTTATACATAATGCATCCCCACCCTACCTCACTGATCATAATTTAGACATTTTGAAATCTACACTACCCCATGATTTTTCCATGGGCACATATGTTTCAGCTCTTTTGGCCCAGTGGTTCCTGAGAAGAAGATTTTCAAAGATTTTTCCTATATATTTCTATGTAAAACTTTGATTCCCTATAATGGCCCCGCCCTTCCCCCGGGGGTCATGATTCCTACAATTTAGAATTTACACTACCCCAGAATGCTTCCACACGAGCTTCACTTTTTCTGGCCCAGTGGTTCTTGAGAAGAAAATTTTCAAAGATTTTTCCTATATATTTCTATATAAAACTTTGATTCCCCATTGTGGCCCCGCCCTTCCCCCGGGTGTCATTATTTGAAC